TTACAAACATATTCTTTCAGCATCAATACACATTGGGCCCTTCTTTTAGGTTAAAACGATCTATCTTAAATTTGTCTTTCTTGAATTTGGGACTATTATGTGTTTAAATAATTTAAAAGGATAAACCTAAAAAAAGCCCTATAAAATGCGCGCAAAATACTGTTGTGTTTTTAATTCTAATTTGGTCGGAATTGATGAAAACTCCCTAAAATGTGCAATTTATAAAGGAAATTGGCCTTCTGTAACAAGAAATGCGCGCAAAGAATTTTAGAATTTTATGCACTTTCAGAGGATACATTTGTCAAGGGGTGGGGAAAAATTTTCCAAAGATGGATATTTTATCCTTGTCCCCCGGTGTTTTTAGTTCTAATTTCGTTGGAATTGATCAAAACTCTCTAAAATGTGCAATTTTTAGAGGAAATTGGCCCATGTCAACAAGAAATGCGCGCGAAATTTGAGGTGTTTAGGCACTTTCAGGGGATGAAAAGGGCATTTATAAAGGGGTGTGAAAGATTTTCCAAAGATAGATGTTTTCCCCTTGTCCCCCAGTGGTTACGCTATCGGGCAGCATAGATCAAAGGAGTTATGAGAGATTTTGAAGTGGAGAAGGCGTTTCAGGGTGTTTTGAGTCTGGTCATTATGATATCTTCCTTTTTATTCTTGTCTTTATTTTTCTCTTCTCTTTTTCTTTTTCTTTCCTTTTCTTTTCCTTTTCTTTCTCTTTCCCTCCCTCTCCCCTCTTTCTTTTCTCTTATTACCGTACCCAGCCCGGTACGACGGCTTGGTCAGCCCGGTAAAAACCGTCAGGGGAGGGGCAGTTTCCCCCCTGTCCTCCCCCTCCCCGCGCCTGTTACGACACTGGCTAACATGCCAATCATCCCCCCAATGAAAAATACATTTCTACGCCACTGCATCGGGGTAACCCCCTACTCGTGTCGAAAGATGTACTGGGTTCTTTAAAGTGCACATTAGCCAAATTGTTTACGCTGTGCCTACGGTTTATAGTCCTTATCCGAGAAGACTTCAACCAAATAGATGAAGTCTTCTCGCTTGCACCGTGCCTATATAATGACTCTAGGTTTGCTGCGGCGCCCCGCCTTAACCATTCGGCCATTTGATTCAGTTCACATCCAACTAGCAACTACAAGACAAAAACTAAAATTTTACAGATAAAATGGAAATAGACCATCCTAGGTTTAAGTTATATTTTCTCTTTACGGAGGTTAATTCAATTCAATCAAATCGACGTTTATTCACAAAAGAATACAATTACAACAGTTTTTTTTCATAAAGTAAATATGACGAATTAATTATGTAAATTTAAAAAAAAAAAGAAACAGGCAAGACTCAATGAGAAAAACAAATCGTGTGATGGGACAGCATGAAAAGAGAAAAAGAAAGAGAGAAAGTAAGTGGAATACCAAAATTATAACCTGGCATTGCTTTGCAAGATTTAACTCCAGGCTAGTGAGACTATTTTAGGTTGCTAAAATGGTGATGGTTCTGTACTCTGCTTTTTTCGGGAGACTTCAATTTTGTATAGGTAGTGGTTAATTTCTTGTTGAGGTCTGGTTCCTACTAGAGAAATGTACCCTGACGAAACACAAGTAACTCTACATCAGTAGAGGATTCAAGGGGGCCTAGACTGACCTGCCCCTTTACATTTTTCAAAATTCTTTGAATTTCCTTGTTTTGGCCCTCTATTTCGAATTCTGGATCCGTCACCGCTGTACATGGCGTGTTATGTTGCTTTCAATGTATTTAGTGGGTGAAGCAAACATTTAAGTGTAATTTGTATGATGTCTAAGAATGAGACGACCATTACTATCACTATATGATTGAAAGGCCATCTTAACCCACCTACAACTCCACTCACATCATCTACCTTATCTATAAAATTGCTGAATGTTATAATAATCAACGAAGACAGCATTTTAAGACAGTCTTTGAACACGCATATTCTCTATAAATTAATTATAATTAGGAACACCATCTCACTAAACGAATCATACATTAATGTATCGTAAACACGAACTTCACTATGGTAAACTAGCCTTCAAGCCTTGATATGTGTACGGTATAAATCCTATAAGAATTCATCCTAGGTTTTAAAGAGGTATTCCGCCAAAATGTTAGATGTTTGTTCGTTATGGGAAATATCAATTAATATAATTTAATATTGGATAGTTAATTCAGACTCTTACGTCATACAGTAATTCTGATTTTGAAACACATATGTACGAACAAACAAGTTTGTATATGAACAGTGCATTATTGAAACGATACCTTTAACCAAGAACATTAATGATACAAACTGTAATTAGAGATTCATAGGCTAATTTGCAAGCGAAACACCCTCGAGCATCTTTCAAGACCGTATCTAATGTTCATTCAAATAAAGTTTTAGTGATTCCGTTTTGTATTAATAAAACGTAAAGGTAGTTTATTCCAGTTAATTCAGTCAGGGTTTAAGGTGACGTGATTTTTTGCTTGAAATAAAACGTTTGCATCACATGTCATTCATGGAAAACTTTGACATGGAATTTTTATTCCTTGCACAAAAAATAATTGCAAAATCCAAAAATGGGTTGAACATAATCTTGTTTTCTAATGTCTTTTCATAGTCTCAATTGCGCATGGCTATGTCAAAGGTCAAATCAAATAGATATTCTTAAGGCTTTCACTATTGTTTACATTATTACTTGACCGTTATTCCTATGGTATATATAGAGGAAAACTGCACCAATCTTCAAGAGAAAAGTCATGACGAAAAGTCTAGTACAGTGTTAAGCGCCCATGTTATTTTAAAATTTTGCCAGAACTTAGAGCGACAAGATGAGCCAAGTATTAAAATAGTACACACCATTAGAAACTTCGACAGCCTTTGTGTGAAAACAGTTTTAATAAATAATTTTAGTGGCATTAAATCATTAAACCTATCCTTGAGAGATATTGTAATTTAAATTCCGTATACGAATTCGCTCTAATTAGTATGAAAACTACGAGAACAATTTTAAAATTTGGGACGAAACATGAATGCAGAGGACAAAGGATAACTCAATGTTGTGCAGACAAACAAACGCAGCAGCACAGGTTGTATATGGCTTAGGCTTATTTGTTTGGGCTGGGAATTCCTAGACTGATAATTCAAAATCAATTAATAAAGTTGATACTTAAATTCATACAGTCAATGCAGATTATGCGTATGTTTTTACAGGATTCTTAACGAGGGGAATATGTGATTAATGACGGTGATAACATTACAAGAATATTAACTCTTTCATCATTAATGTTTTCAATCACATAGCAATAAAACTCAGAGGCACCGTTCGAACATTCAACTAAGAGCATAAACTATATTACAGACAAAACTCTTGTAACATTTCACCGATGATTTATATATATATATATATATAT